CCTGCATGCCCTCCCCTGCTTGGCCCTCCGCGGGGAGGGGGACTCCCCCCTCTCCTTGCAGGCGCCGCCCCGGATAGCTCGGCCCCGGCCCGGCCAGCGCCCGAGAGCTTCTTGACAGCGCCCAGGCTCTGGGCGTGGGCAGCGCCCGCGGGCCTGGACGTTTCCTGACGGCCCATCGCCGCCGGATTTCGTCGCCCCCTTCGTCGTGGCCCTCGTCGCCGTCGTCGCTGACGTGCCCGGCGTCGGATCGGTCGGTCGGTCCGCGGGCTTGTCGGAGGCTTCGCCGTCTTGGTGTGGCCTCTGCGGTTTCCCGCTGCATGGGGCGAGCCACACATGTCGCCGCGCCGTGGGTTTCTCGTGGTGTCCCGCTACATGGGGCTTGCCGTGGGTTTCTCGTGGTGTCGGTCTCGTCCATTTGGGCGCATCGAGAGCTCACGGCGCGGCGACACGTGATTGCACATCGTGTGCAATGAGGTTATTCTCTTCGTTTGGTTCGGATCCCCCGCGCCCCTGCTATCCACGCCTCTCTTTCCCGGCTCTCCCTCCTGGTGCGCCTCCCGCTCCTCGTCGTCATCCTCCTCTTGCTTCTCCTCCTGTTGCTCCTGATCCAGGCTCATCATCCTCCCTCCCTGCCTCCTGCCAAATGCCCCGAAGGACAAGGCGTCCTCGACGTCGTCGCCTCCGGCCCGTGGCGTACCGCTGCTGCTCCGCATCGTGGAGTTTGGGGAAGGGCTGTGATGGTTTCTTCTGCTTGTTCGAAGTTCCACACCGCTGTCACAGCCGTGCCTCTGAGCGCGCTTGTTGCGAAGCCGTTGCCTCTCATCCTGGTGTTGCTTCCCCACCTCGTCATTCTGCCTCATCTTCCTCTTCGTGTTCATGAGCATTCACATGTACCTTGATGTGCTGCCTCCTCCTCCTAATTACTGTTTCTCTGCCTCCTGTGCTCCTCCTCTGCCTTCCCCCCATCCTCCTCTGTCTCGTTCTCTTCCCACTTCTCCTCCTCCTCCTCCTCCTCCTCCTCCTCCTCCTCCTCCTCCTCCTCCTCCGTCCTCATCTCCCTCGTCCTTGTCGTCGAACATCCACACGTGCCTCGACGCACCTCCTCCTGCCATCTCTCTCTGCCTCCTGTGCTCCTCCTCTGGCCTTTCCCCCCCTCCTCCTCGGCCTCGTTCTCTTCCCGCTTCTTTTCCTTCTCCGTCCTCCGTCCTCCGTCCTCCTCCTTCGGCCTCCTCCTCCGCGTCCTTCTCCTCCTCCACCTCCTCCTCCTCCTCCTCCTCCTCCTCCTCCTCCTCCTCCTCCCTCCTCTCCTCCTCCTCCTCCTCCTCCTCCTCCTCCTCCTCCTCCTCCTCCTCCTCCTCTCCTCCTCCTCCTCCTCCTCCTCCTCCTCCTCCTCCTCCTCCTCCTCCTCCTCTCCTCCTCCTCCTCCTCCTCCTCCTCCTCCTCCTCCTCCTCCTCCCCCTCCTCCTCCTCCTCCTCCTCTCCTCTTCCTCTTCCTCCTCCTCCTCCTTCGTCCTCCTTCTCCGTCCTCCTCCTGCCCCGAGGGGGCCCCTCCCGTAGGGGAGGGGTCGGGACCCTAGGGTCCTCGTGGCGCAGGCGGGGAGCGCCGGGCCCGAGGGGCGAAAAGCCCCCGCACCCCGGGGGACGCCGCCGAAGTGCGGTTTCCTTCCCCCGGGGGGGTCGCCAGGTCCCGTGGCCTCCCCCAGGGCGGTGCTGGATCCCCCCCCAGCGCTCGCCGCCCTGGGGCGGGACCGGCGGCTTGTCTCTGTCGTGTCGTTCGTCCGTGTCGTGTCGTTCGTGTCGTGTCGTCCGTTGCGTCCCCCCGTCGTGTCGCGTCGTGTCGCGTTCCCTTTTTTGGTTCGGTCCTGGGTGTCCCGGGGTCCGAAACCGCGGCCACCTATGGAGTAGGTGGTGGGTAGGTTGGGCGTCGGAGCACGGCTCCGGCGCCCCCTGCCCCGATCAGGGAGCGCGGGGCACGGTCTCCTTGCGTTCCCTGTTCGCGCTCAGGGCACGCCACGGGGGCATGGCCCCGACAGTGGCGCTGCCGCTGCAGTCTCAGCCTCCTGGCTGTGCTGTGAGGAGAGGTGGCCCCCACTCGGTGGGGGTCAAGCAGAGGTCGAGCGTTTTTTTTTTATATAAAAGAATCCGTCCTCCTCCTCCGTCCTCAGCGTCGGAGGCCTGGGCGCCACGAGGTGGGCGTCGGAGGTCTGGGCCCGTCCTCCCCCTCTTCCTCCTCCTCCTCTTCCTTCTCCTCTTCCTCCTCCTCCTCCTCCTCTTCCTCCTCCTCCTCCTCCCCCTCCTCCTCCTCCTCTTCCTCCTCCTCTTGCTCCTCCTCCTCCTCCTCTTGCTCCTCCTCCTCCTCCTCCTCTTCCTCATCCTCCTCCTCCTCCCCTCCTCCTCCTCCTCCTCCTCCTCCTCCCCCTCCTCCTCCTCCTCTTCCTCCTCTTCCTCCTCCTTCTCCTCCGATCTTCATCTCTCCCCCTCCCTCCTTTCCTCTTCCGCACGCGCCTCCCTTCCTCTCCTTCGCTCGCAACCTCCTCGGAGACGCGTCGCAGGGGGCCCGGGCAGGAGATCGAGCTGCTGGCGCTCGGCACGGAGCATCCGGACGTGGTCGCCGCGAGGCGCTGGGTCGAGGACTCGGTCGGCTCCGCGTCCTGGGCGGCAGCGCAGTTCTCTGGGGGGTTCTTACTGAGCGTGGGGGGGAACCCCCCCGACGGGGGTCAACCTCGCCCCGTCGTCGCGCCGCGACGGGGGACGCATCGCCGCGGGCGCGTGGTGGCTGCCCGCGACGGCGGCGGCGAGGGCGACGCTCCCCCAACGCTTATGAAGAAACTCGGAGTTCCTCTACCCTGCTCCCGTTGTCCCCGTCTTGGGCTTCCCAGGAGGCCCTCGTCGCCACCGCTGCTCTCGCTTCGAGATCCTGGTCAGATCGCACCCCGGGAGAGGTCCAGGGAGTGGCGGCATCGGTGCCTGTTGGTTTCCCCAGTTCTCCCAGACATCCGACGTCAGGTTACGGTTTCATGCTTGCTGCTTCTCAAGAGTCTCTGCCTCGGGGGGGGGGCCCAACCACGATCCAGAATAAATATGTGGTCGCCAGCAGGAGGGCGAGAGCTCCGTGGCCCACGTATAAGGCAGATGTACATATGTGCATATATATATATATATACATATATATATGCATGTATGATATATGCGTTTTCACAGGACCGTGACGCCGGAGGTCTGGGTTGAGATGATCTGGCTTGGGGCCAGGACCAGCACGAGAAGGATGAGGAGGGCAAGGAGAAGAGGAGGCGCAGCAGAAGCAGCATGCGAAGGATGAGGAGGAATAGCAGTAGCAGCAGCAGCAGCAGCAGGAGAAGGAGGGCAGACGTACACGGAACACATCAGTGACGTTGCAGTGTACTTTCCGGTCCCGATTCCCGTCCTCATATTTGTCGAAGACGTTTGCGGCGAATCGCCGCCGCCTCCTGCCAAGCGGAAGCGCCCGCGCCCTGAAATCTCGAGCGGCAGCACGGTCGTTCTAGCTGCCTTCGTATTCCCCCAGCGGTATAATAAACCACTGAGAGGGAGACTCGTGAGGGGCTATCTGGGTCCGCATCGGGGCTGTTTTCGCGCTCTCTTCTTTCCTCTTGGGCCTTCTTGGGGGCCGCTGAGGCCATCTGGGCGCTCTCTTGGACAGTCGTAGGGCACACTTGGGCCGTTCGTGGCTTTCAGAGGCCGTCTCGGGGCCTCTCTGGGCCGTCTTCGGACCTCCCTTGAAGGCCGTCTTGGAGCTCTCTGGGACCATCTTGGGCCTTCTTAGGGCGATCTTGTGGGCCTGTTGGGCCGTCCTGGGCTGTCGGAAGCTCGAACAAACGAGCATTCGAACAGCATTGCAAACGTGTGACGAATCGGCTGCCTCCCAAGCTTTCACTCCGATCAACTTCTCTCCTGTCTCACCCTCGGGTGCTCTCACCCCTCGCACGTCTCCTCCTCCTCCTGTTCCCATCCGCATTCTACCCCTCCCGTGACCTAGGCCCTGGCTTGGAGAGCACGGAGCTCTTCGGAATGCGCTCGGACCGCGAGACAGGCATTCACTGAGGCATCCAGTGCCAGAGCAGTCCGAGAACCCTCTCTGGAGGCCCGCGTCAGAGGCCTCCCCCCCTGTTTGTGCCTCCCCCTCCCTGTTGGGGAAACTCGAGTACGCCGGAACTCGAGTTTGCCGACGCCTTTTGGCGAGCGTGTCCCAGATTCTGACAGATCGGTTCTCGTGGGATGCTTGCAGCGGGAGCTCGCGTCAAGTTTCGGATCGGATCTCGTTATTTTTGTTTGATGGCCCTGTCAGGCCAACCTGAGTCCCCCGAACCTGAGTCTTACGTCTCGCCGACCCCTGCCTCACCCGCTCGCAGGCGACGTTGTTTCCCGAATCCCCGCATTCCGCTTGAAAAGTTTGGCCTTCCACAAAAAATGGGAAACCCCCGTCGTAAATGTCCCAGGGTTGGGCCCCAAATTTCTGGTCCATTCGAAAACCCCCCAGAGCCTGGGATAGGGGTCGACATACGGTAGAGGGAAACAATTACTGAACCTTCCCCCTCCCCCAAACTCAAAGTTGGCACGCGCGGGGGAGACTGCGGTCGAGGTGCAGTTAATCAGACCCACCGCCAACCTGGCACAGTTGGGGGAGGGGGAGGCTTTGACAGATGAATGTGGGATGAGGGTTCGCTATTTTTTTCCACCCCTCCTTGTTCGAGTTTTTCCTTTTGAATGCAGCACTGCGGTCCCCACTTCTCCTTCTCCTCCCGCCTCCCGCCCCCCCTCCTTCTTGTCTCCTCTTGCCTTGTGCGCGTTGACAGATGAGTGTGGCATTAGTGTGTTCGCTTCTTTTTCCCGAGGCCTGTGTCCCCGGCCTCCCCCGCACCGTCCGCACCTCTCGGCCGACAGGGCCGCACCCAGCCCGCAGCGCCGGGGCGGCCCCCCCGCACGGGGGCTCCGTGGCCGGCGGGCGCCGCGCACCCGCCGGGATGCTGCAGCTGTCCGAGGGGGCGTCCTCCATCGTCGACGGGGCCTCCGCAGGGGCGTCCCGTGCCTAGGGGCGGGGGGAGGAGGAGGAGGAGGAGGAGAAGGAGGAGGAGGAGGAGGAGGAGGAGGAGGAGGAGGCGAAGGGGGGGATTGGAAGCAGGAGGGGG